CGTGGATGACTTGTTGGGATGAGCGAATTAAAGCATGGGTTTTATCATTTTTATTACAAACATATTAGCAACAATAGCAGCTTTTGTTGAGTCTTTGCTCTCACTAGTGTGCTCGCAGGGCTACAATAACAGTAATTCATAGCTAGAATGAAAATATTGAACTGTGATTCTTACGTTATTATGGGTCAGCGCATGATCAACACTTCGTAGTCTTACAGATATTATAAAAGAAGGTGTTTATTAAAAGGAAAAATCTTTGCAGCATCAGTACATAAGGGTGTTGCAGTTTGACTGTTTTTGCTTTGTTTGCGACAGTTTCATGTGGTTTGTAGTGAACAACGAGCCCGTTTTCCTTTATCAGTTAAAAATTGTCACATTTTTATAAGGAAATGGCTTTATTTAAACATTCTGTAGAGAAAGTCGTATTTTCTGCACTTTGATTAAGCAGTGGAGTCTTTATAAGCGCGAGCGCTTGATTGGACTATAATATACATTATGCATTAGTCATTAGATATGCATTGGTCTCTTAGTATTTTTTTGTGGAGCTGGAATTTCACCTCTGCTGAGAATTGGTGTTGGGGTTAGTTTTTCCAATCCAATTTTAGAGTCCGTAATTTGATTTGACAACCTGCGCTGCCACCACCTCACTACACCCACACTCACCTGTTGGACACAAAGATACTCTCAGCCATCAAATTGCAATGAATTTATTTGCAGTCAGTTGCTGGGAGTATTTTGTAACATCTATTTTCAGCAGCTCTGCATTATGGTTAACATTTTAAGTCTCTGTTTAGCCCTCGGTCCAATAAACAATGCCCGAGGTTGCCTCTTATTCACGTTTGCCGGGTGATGAAATTTCTTCCTACGTCACCGTACAGATCCATGAATCTTGTAGTTTGTAGCTATTTGACAGCAGCTTCTGTATTTAATACGGTTTGGCTTTTGTTTTGCTGTAAAATCTAAAAAATAATATTTCTCCTTATTTTTCTTCAAATAAAGCTAATGTCTGGGGAAACGTCATGGACACAAGTGCAATAATAATCTCTGTCTCGACATCACCAGCAGTGCTAAATGATTAAATGTCAAACTAACCTAACAGATCTGAAAATCTGAGATTGTCTCTCAGCACTCCTCATTAATGATTTTATGTATCAGAAACAGCGAGGTGATTGAAAGTGAAACAGCACAGGGACTTTCTTACCCCCTTTCCCCCCCCCATGAGGCCAGACTGTCTTCAGGCCTTGTCTGTCATCTTTACATCTTCACTTTGTTGTCGTCTTTTTTGGTCCTAAGTGAGACGCAGTGCAGTATACCACTCTGGGCTTTTTTGCCTTTGCTACCACTAATCACCAGACCCCTACTAGTTTTATCATAATTAACAGATCAAAGACGCAGAAAGAAGGGCAGTCATGCATTATTAAACACACACACTCTGCACGTATATGTGCCTGTGTATGTTAGTCACGTAAGTAATTGAGAAAATAGTGATCTTTATGAACCGATTTATCCGTTTTGAGAAGGTTTTCATAATTTATCAAAGATAAAGTCGTACAAATTGTCCTCAAAAGGAGATTTTCTACTATTGCGTAAGTCTGATCTTGGTGGTTTTAGGCTCTGAGTATTTTTCACATATGAAGTCGTTTTTTTATTATTTATCTCACATACTCAGTTGCAGATAAACACACAGACCTCAGGAGACTTCGGGAGAGGTTTAAGGTTAAAGATGCATCAGTTGTTCTGCACATATTCTGCATTAAAGGCTTGTAGGTCAGTCATTTTTTCTTTCCTTATAAATATATGTTACTGTACTCATGATTCTTGATGAAAGTGGCAGATTTCTCTTCCAATGTTTTTGCCTGAAACTAACAAGAACATAGTCTGGAACAAATATTTGGGGTATTGGTTTTTCATTTGGTTGGAGGACATGCAGTGAACTTTAAATGTGCTTATCTGTCAGCTCAACCACTTTGTGTCCAGCAATGGAATAATATAAACATGATTGTGGGTTTTTGCTGTTCCTACTTTGTGGTAATGACTATCATCAGTCCTCTGCGCTTTATTTGGTGCAATTTTGAAGTTCGGTTCCATTTTCTACTTTTCCGTCCTTTTGTCTCGTCAGCATCACGTCTATTAAGTGACCTGTTCTTTCTGTTTTTTGTCTCTGCTGCGTATCTTTTATGCTCCCTCTTGAATTCACTCTCTAGGGGCTGTAATAAACCTGTAGTTAGCTGTTAAAACCGTGTGCATTTTAGACTAAATGGCCCCCGGCGTCCCTGTGCCTGCTGTTGGGGCTTACGGCCAATGGGCCTTTAAATGACTTAATTTCCTATCTGCCTCCTGGGGGACCTTTTAGCGAAGCTAAAAGCTGGTCACAGCCCGCGGAGAGTGTCAGGAAAGACTTGGAACGGGTGGACCCCGGCTGAATCCAAATCGCTATTGCTCTAATTGCCACTGGCGAAATCCGTAATACAGACATGTGTCATACTGATGTGGAGTTGCACACATGTTGGTCTTTTCACAGCATGTCCATTAGTATTTGTTACTGTTAGCATGCAGTCATCATTTAGAGTTTTGCTGCTTAACAAATCAGTAAGAATACAAAGCGATTGTTAATCATTTTTATGCAGAAAAAGAAATTTGACCTTCCCAATTTTCATCTAAGTTGTTCAAGCTGTTGCTGTGAATTTTGGAGCTTTTTTGGATAATAATTTAGTGATTAATAATCAAATCAGATAAGATTTGGGGACATGCTGTGAATAGGCCTTGCTGAAGCTAGACACTCGTAACTGGACTCGGTATGTTAGGCACAGGGATCTTCATTAAAGGTTCAACTTTATGTGGTGCACACATGTTACTCAAGCTAAGAGCTGAAACTATATATAAGTTGCTATAAGTTTTCCCTTTAAAGTCATCTGACCTTGATGAATACTCTTAAAGTTATTTAGGCACTTTTTATTCCATGCAGACAATTGGCTGCACAGCAGAGTGCTCTAATCCATGTTTCCAGTTAAAAATATTTACCAACATTGATTCTGTTATTGGCTCCATTATCCCAGGCTCCCTTTCCTCTTTTCTGCCAAGGTGAACTTGTGCACTGTGTTTATCTGTTTCTTGGTGTGTGCTCGCACACGTGTGTCTCCCTGTGTCGATCCTTCAGCAGTTGTTTGCCGCTTCTCCCTGAAGATCGCTTACATCGATGCGATGGTGTAGGATGATTGCTTCAGGGGGAGCCGAGGCCTGTCCTTAGGGTCGTAACAAAATTAAAACTCCTTTAAATATTGACATACAGGGGATGCAAGTCAGAAAAATCGAATTGATTTATGAAGGACAGAGTGTATGTTTCTGAGACGGTGGATAGCAGGGTGGTTCGATGCAGGATGGGCAGCAAAAGACTGGAGCAGGCTACTGTAGCTGACCTGCCTCTTGATACAAATGCACGATAGTTTGAATGTGAGCACCACAATCAAGAAGTACACTGACCTTTAGTGAGGATTTAAAAGTACTTTTTAGAGTGTTGGGCAGAAAAAAACATCTAGAAAAAAATGAAAGGCCTCCTGCAGTTCTCCCCTCTTGTTCAAAGCCCCGCCCATCACAGGAAACTGAGAAAAGACTACCACTGAGTCTGTAACAGTCTGCGTATGTGTGGTTTTACAGTTGGAACAGATCAGAGAAAGACCATGCTGTAAGCTGGTTTTTATTTAACCAGGCAAGAGGACTGTTCAGCTGAGGCTGTCACCTGTCAGCCCCGGGTGTGTGTTGTGTTAGCGCTGTAGGTTTCTGTACTGTAAACTGCAGCACAGCTGTTCACCAGAGCTCACAGCCACTCTTCTCTTCCTTTATTCCAACGCCTCAAAAGTGTCCCCAGTTAATAGGGTTGTGTTCGTTAACAAGCCTGCGAAGTCCTCGTCAGCAGCGTTATCACAGCGACACACACAATGTGGGTTTTATCAGGCCTCTCTATGGCAGCAGACGGGTCTGAAATTAGCAGCTCTGAGAGGAAAGAGGCGCACGGCATTATTCCACATTCCCAGCTGTGTGTGAACACCAGGAATACCAATATAGCAGTTGTTGTTCGTCAGACACTCACATTCGTGCACGCAGAGCAGACAGTTAGCACCACAGTCAGCTCTGTCACAGACCTTCTGAGGTGTGAAGTATGTGCAGGGTGCAGCTCTCCTCATTATTAGGACTGTTGGATTTGGCATCAGGAAAGAAGAGCATTCATGCTGCAGTCGCAGCAACTTACAGGTCTGTCAGGGAGAAAAAGGTCAACCACAGGATAGAATTCAGAAGCGTTTAGGGCTCTTGGATAGACGGCAGATGGAGAGAAGAGGTTCATGTGTTCATGTTGACTTTTTTTATTATGGTGACCAGAATATGCTTGATTTATTATGCAACACTTGGAAGCAAAACCATGGATCTGGAGATGTCTGTTTGAGATGAAATGTGCATATTTGTCCTTCTAAGTTGGAGTTTTTCAGCTTTTCAAGGTTTAGTAGCAGATTTATGCTCCTCGCCTTGATAATCTTGTTTTACGCTTTATTTTCTTACTCTGGTTGCAAAAGGAAGCTCTGATCTTTCATTGGAGAACTTATTGGTGTCCCCACCCCCCCACCCCCATCCTTCTCGTGCCTTTCTAAGGCATCTGCTGCCATTTCAGCAGACTCACAGAGGCAGAATGTGTCAAAAGGCCAGGCTGTTGAACCTCTGTGCACCAACTGAACAAACGACGAGGAAAAATAGATTCTCTGTGACAGTGCTGCTGAAATCACTGTGGTCAGACTGACTGCAGGGTCACCGTCGCCTCGCCTCTCCTCAGACACAACACAGACTTTGCAGACATGCCACAACAGCCCTGCACACTTAAAAACAGTCGTTTACCTCGGTCTCCACCACAACATGGCTCTTCTTCTGCCGTTACCCTTTTGTCGTGGTGATTTAAAAGTCACTTGACTGATACTGACGCTTTCCCCTTTTTGTGTGTGTTTGTCCTTTTGCAGAAGGCATCTGCAACATGACAATGGACTCCAACTCGATTACAATGCCGATGTCAGACCCCAACGCCTGGGCGACAGCTATGAATAACCTGGGGATGCCTCCCATGGGAATAACTGGACAGCCACTCATGCCAGGTACCAGATTTCTCCATATAAGAACCAATCTTGTGTTGAAAATGTAACTCTGTAGCATGAAATATGGGAGGAGTTGTCCTCGTATAACACAGCTGAATTGCATCAGAGTTTTACACATGCTGGAAACATCATTTTGCTGTCTGCAGTTCCCAGATACACCAAGTATGTTTGTTTTTGTTGAATTGAATTATTGCATTTATTGCAGTTGTTGGCATAATTACCTGATTTCTTCTCATCTAAAATGGTGATTTATGTTGAAGTGCTCGCCTCAGAAATGTAGCTCTAGTTGTTAATCCATTCCCTTGATAATTATTTTATTCATCATGGCTACAGTATTTTCCTTCTGGGTGTTTTCCTTTGAAAGAAGGAAAAATAATGAGATTATTAAACCAAATTGGAGAACAAAAGGCAGCGTGTAGGTGGCTGTAGCTCGGAGATGGAACAGGTCAACCTGTAATCAGATGTTCACTGGTCAGATTTCCAGCTTCTTCTTGTGGAAGTGTCATCAGTGTTTAAGTGTGTGGGTCAAACTGATGTATTCATGTATGTGTCAATGGGCAACAGCGTTTTAAGTGGAAGGAAAGTGCTATATGAAAGCAAATCTAAGTTTTTACCTGGAGTTTGCCTCCAAAGCATCTCAAGCTCAGCATTTAATGTCATTGTAAGAACAAAAATGTGTGACGTGGGGTCTTTGTGGATTTGTAGCTCCTTTTCTTTGACTGCATTGTCAAGTGTGGATTGACTGCTGCTGTGGAGCAAAGTGGATTGTCATCAGTGTGGCTGCACTGGTCATTTTAGAGTAAGCATATTTCTTTCTTTTTTTTAAACGGGATGAGCTGAGTCACCAAGATGGGATTGCAGGCTGGTAATCTGTTTCAAAATGGCATACACACAAGCAAAGTCTGTCTGACAGATGCTGATATGACTCAATCCCACTAGGATCAGTTAAAAAGAGCTTTTTTGTTTTCCAAGTCTGTGCTTCATGCAAGTTATAAAAGAACTGTTAAAAAACAAATGTATGCTGAGTTTACTTGGAATCAGTCGTTCTTTGTCTTCCACCTTTAGCACGTTAACGTTTCCTTGCAGCCTTTTCAGGTGGCTGTGTACTGATAAAATGCAGGTTCACATATGCCTTTATATCTGTGTACACGCTGACACCGATAGCCTTCTGTACGCTCTGCTTTCCATTGATTAAATGCATTAAAGGATGCATATGAAACACTATTACCGAACTAGTCCTCAGGACACACAACAAAACACCTGTATCAGCTTATCAAACAAGAACATTCACATTCATAGTTTTTCCCTTTGTTTTAATGAATTACACCAGTATCAGCACTAAAGGCATGTATTGTATTATATCTGCTGCATTATCGCTCAGCAACAAGCAATGACAAAAAATCAGTCATTGGTTTAAAAGCAGCTGCTTCAACCGCTCCGTTTTGGGGATTAGAACGGTGAAATTTCATTTATTTGCTCATTTATCCCACACTCTTACAACCTCAAAGTGCATTTTGTATGCGCCAGGTTGAGCTACTGTGTGCTGATCTACCGCTGAAATATCCAGCCTTACCGATTGCTTTGCTATCTATAACATTAGGTTCAGCAGCAACCTCCCACTCTCCATCTCTGAGGAGTTATTCTGCCATGTCTTTTCTCTCTTCTCAGTTGAAAGCCTTTCCCTAAAGCCTTTTATAAATCACTTCCCACTTCTTAGCTGAAATGCACTTTCATATTTGAAATATGCCAGGCTGCTGTGTGTGTGCGCGCGCACGTTTATGCACTTGGAGGCGAACTGTCTTCCAAATGCACTCCTCGGGAAATATTAAGGGAAACACACACAGACGCGGGCATTGCGTATTTCAAATATAGTAGAAGTCTTTCCAGTAAAGAAAAAGAGAAGTCAGAAGTGACACCAAAAAAGTGTCAGAAAGATGGAAACCAGACAGATTTTGCCTATTTGAAGGTTTTAACACTGATCTGACCATCCCAGACAAGTTCCATAGTGCTGACTAAGAGTGAAAAATACATGTTTCCTTGATTTGATTTCTGTTTACAGAGTCAGCCAAAAAAACATTCATTCTGCTTATTGGTTCCTTCTGTGTCTGGGGCAGCATCAGCAAAGTAAACACGGGAATGAGGTCTTGAAGACAGTTCTGTCCAACCAAATGGCAAGAGAGCAATGTACTTGTTACAGAGAAGGTCAGCCCTTAATTCCTTTTCCAGCTGCTGGAAGACTGACTGCATAAGGTTTGTATTTTCTGCAAAACATACCCACCTTTGGTAGCTTTGTAGCCTAAACTGGTACCTTTCAGTTGGTGTACTTGGTGGTCATTTTGGTCAACATCCAGCTACGAATGCAGTTTTAAGATCTTCCCCAAACAAATCAGTTCAAGGGGGAAACAAACCAGACTCTGGTTCAGTCAGAATAAACAACACAGATTTGAGATGAAGACCGATGCTGGAAGGTGGACATAAACACATCTTTTCAAGAGTCTATATTGCAGCTGAAGTGTATGTGTGAAGCGGACTGATGGCCCCCTACTGAGATTCTGTCTTTGAACTTTATTTGCAGCAGTTGACGACCTTTTCAGAGCAGTAATTTAAATTCATAGCAGGCACGGACACAACTAAAGCACTAATGATGCCCGTACCAGTAATCCAGGCTGCACAATATGAGATCCGTGAAACTCGCACCTGTAAATGGAATGCAGTAATTAGTGTTATTAGCCGCACCTGTGTGTCTGCTGTGAGGAAGGCCAATTAAACTGCTTTTAAACTTAGTCAGACCCTCAGACAAATTTGCCTCAGGTCGATCTTACAACCTGATTTTGATGTGGTAAGAAGGAAAACAGTGTGTGTGCATGTTTGTGTGTGTGTGCGTTTGTGTGTTTGTGCGTGTGCATGAAAGAATGGCTTCGAGGCAGACACACCCACACAGATGTTTTCTGCCGTCTCGTTAGACTCATGCCTCAGTTCAGCTCCATCATAAAAGATTGGTGGTAGTGTATAACTGGAAGTAGCTAATTACACTGAAGTACGGTTCTTAGAGATATTTTACCAGGCTTGTAATTTAGCACATTGATCAATGGTTCCTAAAGCCTATACAAACCACCTTGGGACCGAGTAAAGATGGCGCCAGTGTGTACGGCAGGCCGTCCTTGTCTCTGTTGTCGATCTCTTTTCCTTGATATTTGTTTATTATTTGTTATCTTTCTGGCACTATGCCCCCCAGATGGTTATGCATTAACCTACGTTTAGACTGAAGACCAGAGGCGACCCTTTGCTTCAGCTGCACCAACCTTTGGAAGCCTCCCAGCTTCTATTCGAGCCTTGGACTCTGTCCAGTCCTTTAAATCAAGATTAAAAGCATGTCTATTTGATTTGGCTTTCCCGACAGGTTAATACCCTTTTAAATCTTTTAATTTTTAAACTTTTAAATCTCTTATTAGATTTTATTAAATTTATTATTTTTATTAATTTTACTGCTGTTTTTGTCTTCTTAGCAAATTTTGTATTTCTCTAACTCTCCTGGTCTGTTAGTGCCTCTATCCTGTCTGTGCTTGTGCCTGATTTGTACTCTGCTATTGACTTATGTTGACTTTCCATATTACTGTGAAGCACTTTGGTGTGCCTTCGGGTTTTTAAATGTGCTATATAAATAAAATTGTATTGTATCAATGTGCTTTCATCCGACCACATTCTTACTGGTTAGGCAATCACGGGTGTGACTTCTACAATAACGCTTTCATTTAATATTAAAATAATTTTAGCTGTGTTATAGCTTGCATGTTGACATTTTGATTGCCTTTAATGCGAGCTGACTGACTTCATGCAGTATCATGTTGATGGAGGTTGATGGAGCTGAGAGAGAGAGGTGTAATTTATTCCACTCCAAGAGGTGCAATAAACCAGCAAGGGAGTGAAGATGTTGGTCAAGTGTTGTTTGTTCACACCCACGCGACCTTAAGAAGAGTTTTCATCAGGCAAATGCCACGTGGTGGGTTTAACTTCAGTTTTCAAAGCATTTAAATCTATATTAGAGGGAAACATTAGATGGCAGAAGAAATCTCAGAAGGGTGATGGGTTGAGCCAAATCAGAAGATCTGCTGTTCATCTGCTCTTTATGAACTCAGTTCATCCCAGTAAATTCTTAAACACTCAGACTTTATTCAATTACTCTGCAATGAACATCTGGACTCGAACCCTATTTTTTTTTTAAAAAAATACACAGCTGCCAACTAACTTATAGTATTCTGTCAGCAGGCTGTACAAAAATGGAAATTGATGCTTTCTCAACCAGATAAACACCACAAAAATAATTATATGTGAATATTGAAATGTGCAAATTGTCTTATCATCTGTCTCCAGTCAGAAGGAGTTTTGCATTTTCCACTAATTTCAAACTTGTTGAAAAGCATGAAAAAAAACATGCAAGTGGATCCACTTGAGCACAACCATCTTGTTTGCCTGTTTTAGCTGTGTGCAACATCTCAGTAGGACAAACTAGCTCAAGGTTAGCCACTATACATATGTGCATTCAGCTTTCATAAACTGTTCAGTTCTGTCGTAGAGGTTTCTTTTGGTAAATTTAGATTCTTCCGTTTCATTATGAACTCTTATGAAATCTCTGAACACGAAGCGGGAGGCACACACACTCATCAAAGACTTATGCTGTCATGCAGCATTTGTTGCCAGGGCACCTTTGCCTTTGAAGAAACCCAGGTGGATTAGTTATTGATTCCCCATCATGACTGTACATCATCTTTTTTGCCTTTTTATTTTCACCTCTAACCAACGGGGAGAACACACTCTGTCTTTTTGTCTGTCTTTGATTTTTGACGGCATTTCTGCACGAGTACACTGTCATATGTTTCCTGCATGTAGAGTCATGTGAGATTTTTATGTCAGTTCTAGGTTCATTCATTAGAAGGGACTGCCTGTGCCAGACCACTTTCCCGAGACATTAAAGTCTGCCTCTGTTTCATCCACTGTGAGCC